TCTCTCTCTCTCTCTCTCTCTCTCTCTCTCTTCCTTTCCTCCCTCTGAAACCCTCCAACTTCAGCGCCGAGCAACATCTACCATTGCTGGCATATGCCTACTTCGATTACTATATTCGTACACTTCGTTATGCGAAGTCGACGTGGGTCGAAAGAGTTATTTAAGCTTCGTTGTAAACGGTTGTAATGAGTGTTGCTGATATCGTGAAGCGGAATGGCGTATTTGCGCCGCGCAACAGGGTTACATGCCTGAACTTGTACTTCGTAATACAGCGGGTTGTCTGAACTTCTAGAATATTTTGCATAATTTTCTTAAACGAGTTATAAAGTGTTTGAAAATAATGAAATTGTTATACCATCGTTTGTGAGTGTTTGTACATTATTACCACATGCCAATCAAATTGAGGTATAATTACGAAGTCATTTAACGCTGAAGAATTTTAGTGAAGTAAAGCTGTATAGATGCAGACAGCTAACGGAGTTTAATTAAACTTCAAGCTTCAAGCTTACACCAGTTATCAAGATTTTAAATATTAAAAATATGAACATTGGTTTGTAATAAAAACATATCAGTCAAAAAAAATATCATATCATTTAAAAAAAATTAACTTGATTAAAAAAAGGAGAAATAAATAAGAATTTAGTCTGAACAATATTATTCCTCTCAAGTGTCATAAGACACGAAATTATTAAGAATTCTATAAGCAATGTAAAAATTGGACTTACACGAAAAAATTTGAAAAAAAATCTGTTTATTTAGAACTAAAAAATTATGTGTCAAAATAGCGATTTAATTGCAATTTTAAAGTCATTAGGTGAATGAATCGATTTATCAATCTTCCGTAGAACTGGGACTTGGACATTGGGCGGACAGAACGCGATAACTTGTTAAGGATCCGCTACCAGGATGTGGTGCCAAGACAACAAGGCTTCGATACGAGACTCGTAGCAAAGTAAGGTCGAGGGCTCGGGAGCTCGATCTCTCGAACCCGAGCTCTCGAGGGTGTACGATGTCGAGGCCGAGGGGACCACGCGGGGTATTAGCATATTAATTTCGCTGAGACTGCGACGCGCAGATAAAGCATCTTAGGAAGGCGAACTTCGGTGATGAATCAAGCTCATAGCCGCGGTAATTATTCAGAAAGTTCAGCACCGCCACCGCCGCCGGGCAAGTCGGCCGCATTTGCGCAGCATGAAACGAAACAAAAATATTTTTCTTTCTAGGACTTCAACGGCACCGGTGCACCATCGGTTATCTCCTGCTTCTTCGCCGGCCCGGCTGCTACTCATCTTTTCGACGACGCTCCCGAAATTTACATAACTCCGCAAATTCTTCACTGAATTCGTCCTCTCGCCATACCATCGAATATACGAATTAATTCATTACTTAATTGATCATAAATTTTCCACAAAAAATCTAATTTAGTTTAAAATTAAAACATCAGTAGAGAGAAAGAGAAAAAAATAATTTTTTCAATTCTATTTATTAATAAAATTAAGAAATATTAAAATATTATCATTCCTTTAAAATGTTGGTTAACGTTGTATAATTGCTTAATTAAAAAACGTTTCTTTATTAAGATGTTTTCATTACAAATTGATATAAAATGATTTTACGCTACCGCGAATAATAACAGCGTGAATTATGATTCCTACATATTAAAAAGATATGAGTTTAAAGACGAGCTAAAGGAAAGCTGAAGTTAAGCTAATAATTCGAAAACTAAACGCAACGTCCCGTCAAGCGAGAACAATGTTAATCTATTTACTTGCTACGGATCTCCCTTTCTTCCCGGGCCAAAAACTCCGGTTTCCCCGCGAGTACTTGCCTTTATCAAGCTCGTATTTCATCACTGGTGTCCGTTTATGAGCGCGCAAGAAATTAACTTTTTCGCTAATTAACTCCCTGGAGCTGCTAACGAACTGTAGCGAACGCGTATCGCTTTTTCTTACTTCCCCTTCCGTAGAAAGTATAGAAGCAGCGAACAGGAGGCGCCCTTTTCGAGCCCGAGGATTTAATGAATACTTGGCAATCAGCTTCTTAAAAATTATTGTAAAATAATAAATTCACACTGCTGTATATCACAAGCAAAATATATGAAACATTATTGCTACTGTTTCAATTGAATAAATTAACAATTACTACATGATAGTTAATCCAAATGTTGAAAAAATTGATTTCTTCAGCAAACAAACAAGAAATAAGTTGCATAAAAAAATAATAAAAAGTCGCATAAAATTATTCTATGTAGAATTCATAAATATAATCCAATGTTTTTACTAAAATATAACGCGTAATATTTATAGATAGTGATGCATTCAAATACTTTAAACATTTAGAAAATCTATTTTAATTGCTCCACATTTAATCTGATGTATTTTATTTATTTTTATAAAATTTTCTTCGACATATAATGTCCAATTTATAACTTTAATCACTTCAATTTGTAACTTTCAGGCAATGTGGCCTACTTTTTGTTTTACCGCAATGTGTTATTCGCTATTTGTGGCGTAAAGAAGAAACGGGCAAGCTTCCTCTCGAACACGCACACAGAAAAGCCTACCCTTCGTCATCCATTTGTCATCGTGCCTGCGAAAGCTCCTCGCCGAACTTGCGCGCCATCGACCCCCCCCCCCCTCTTCCCCCCTCGCCCAACCTCGTATCGCGCCAATGTTACGTGGGAGTAATTATTGCCCGACATGAATCGCAAGTTACCCTTAACGCCGTAATAAGAATGCTCATCCCACGTTCCTCTTAATGGACTACCGCTGCTCTTCGACAGAGCTAAAAACTCGATGTCGCTTCTCTCAACGTCGGCGGCACAAAAGTTTTCCTCACGACAATTCTTTTCCGAGCGGCCACCACGAGCTCATAAATATAAATCGACTATTTTTCTAATTAGATCGTTAATGCACGCGACAAGATTGGGAGTTTCCGCCGTGGAAAATAAATCCGCGGCATTTGATTAATTTCAAAACGAGACGTCGACGTCACGTCGAAGGAAACTTTTTTTCCGAAGTAGTGCAATAATCTAATGTACTGGAGAAGAATTCAAATAGAAGAAATAACAGAACGCGTATTGCACTTATCGTATTTTAATTTGCGCTCTGCAGGAAGACTTCTCCTGCTTCTCGTTATATTGAGATTAGTTTCACAAACAAAAGAAATAGAATGAACGTTCCGTTGAAAATATACGATAAATCATCTGAAGCAAAAGAAAAAAATATTCTTCTTTCTTAGGGATAAATGCTTTTCTTTATGTAAAGCTTCTTTATGTAATTATTTATTTGAAAGTCTAAAATTTTATATTTGAGTAACTCAGTGAAATTATATATCTACAAAAAAATCTTCAAATTAATTTTATGTTTAAAGAAAAAATAATTTTTAATGTAACGTATTAGAATAAGAAAAAGATATTAGAATAAAAAGATTGGAATATAAATACGTAACAATTGTTATTAGCAAGCTATATGCCATTATATGGCTGATTCTATATACTTTATTCATCTTAAAATGGACAATAAATCAATATGTAACCAGTTTTATATGATCTAATAGAATATTTAATATTTTGTATGCGTATTTATCTATGCGTAATAACCATGACTACTATTAAAGAATTATGAATAATTTTATAATTTTACTTATTTATATGTATATATACGATATGTATATATATATTGTATATCAGAATATATATATATATATATATATATATATATAT